CGTCCATATAAAAATCTCTTAATATTATTTCGCTTATTTTTGGGTTCTCCAATCGTGACTCGTGTGCTATCTGATGTAAGCATCTTACCGCTAAGAATGGAGCCGATGCGACTCCAAACGTCACGGTGTTTAATACGAACTCCTCAATTTGTGAAGTCGAATCGTTTCTCCACAAAACCCGCTGTAAATTCCGTTGTTTCGGGTCTACGTAAATCTGCCTATACATCTGCTCAACATCTCCCGTGAGTACATATTGATGTTGTCTAAAACGCAAGATAATTTCAAATAATTCTGATTGTATAGTCGGACCGATCCTTAGAATATCATTTAGCGATTTGCCGGTGGTCGTCTTACAGGATGCGTCAAAGACTACTCTTAACTTCGTAGTTGTTCTTTCTTCCTTCACCACGGCGTGATGCGGCAAATAATAAGCTATTTCGTTTGTGGATTCCGCGTTTCTGTGCACCCTTGACATATGTCCTGATTTTAAATATTCCTGTACGCATTCTGTGTAGTGAGTTTTTAATTTCGGGTCTCGATCTAATCTTCGTAATATCGAATGTAGTCGCTTCAATGCAAACTCTCGTGAATCTCCCAAGCAATCGGGTTCCTCTCGGCAGGGAAGGCGCACCACAAATTTCCCGTCGGCCATACGATAATGTGTATCCCGGAATTCTTCTTCGCATAACGATTCCTCTCTTGTTAACTTTGCCTTAATTATCTGCGACGGCCCTTCCTCCACAGTCCAGAAACGTTCGATTTGTTGTAATAACTCTGTATCTCTGATTATCGTACAAAGCGCCGTACTCTTTCCGTTTGATTGGCTACCGATGATGGGTGAGCCTCCTGCCACGATCCATCCAAGCTTTGTTTTCTGCAAAATCGGCAAGCCTCTGCCCAACTTGATTTGTCCGACGCACAACAAATCCCAGAATACTCCTCCTCCTAACAATATATCTATTTCGCCTGGATCGCCGAATTGTTGGTCGGATAACCTTATATTCCTTGGAATGTTTAAGGGGTTACACCACAGTAGAGAGCGAAAATTTAACGTTTTTTTGCGATTTTTTTTTTAATGGAAGGAAAAGTAAAAGGATAATTCTTTTTGAGGATGTTGTTAAGCACGTTTTGAAGTTTTAAAAAAATTTGGTTTATTAAAAAATATGGC